TCATGCAGCAAAGAAACAAAGAGCGGAGAAGAAGTCGAAAGCGGTACGATACGTTTGAATCGTTGTTTGGTTTCTGTGTTTGGTGTTTTATGCCGTTGTTGTTTTGTTTTGGGGGTTGTTGGGGTTTTTTTTGGTTGTGGTGGTGATATCGATGGTGATTCTGGTGGTGGTGATGATGATGGTGGTGTTGATAGTTTAAGTTGCTTGTTTTTGTTGTTTTTGTTCGTTTTTTGTTACTATTGTTGTTTCTGTTGTTGTTGTTGTTGTTGATGATGTTGTCGTCGTCGTTGTTGTTGTCTTTCTACTACTGATCTTGGCTCCGTATTACTGTTTTTTACCCACACTCTTGATCTTAGGGTAGGTAAGATTGAACACCTAGCCTTCTCGGATAGGGACCAAAAATCTCGCGCGATACTTGCATTCGGATCCCTCCTTGGTGGTTCTAAAATCGATAACACCACTGTACAAAATTAAAAATCAATTCCTAGTAAAACTGAGAATACTAGATACAGTAAAAGAAAAATAGAAAGCACCTTCAAAATCGGAATGCAGCTGCCTTAAAAACTTGAAGTAATGGGGCCCCACGAAGTTGGAAGAACCGTCGCTAGAGAAAACATCAGTGGCTTTGCAAGTGGAAGAATAAGTAGTCGCTTATCTCTGCGATCTACCAAGTCAATGGTGATACCAAAGATCGTACATAACAAGATGGTCCACTCTGCCAAAAAAGTGTCCGCCAGAAGTTCGCTCATTGCTTCAGATGGCGCTGCAGTCTGTTTTGAAGCTCTCTTTCGTTTCTCCAGAAGAAAAATAGGAATAGCACCTCCTTGCGTGCGCAGATCGACTGCTGTTCATCAGCTGTTCGGGTTCGTTCAGTGCGGAGTTTAAGGGAGTATTTTAATATATTTTAATGACCTCCCGCCTCTCATTCTAAGGTCAAGAAATGAAGAATACAGTCGCCCCTTCCTCTGGAAGAGGGTTTTTTTGGTCAGCGTAACCATTTTAAAAAAGTGTTCTTCCGAAATTTGAATTCTTATTTTCAAAAACTTGTTAGTTTCACTTTGATGTTTTTTCACACAAGTAGGGTAACTGTTCGCAATGGATGCGCATTTGTGAAGAGGGCGCCACCGAATTTTGAGGACACTTTTTTAATTGGCTCAAAGAGAGGAGTGGACCATCTTGTTATGTATGATACATAACAAGGAGAGTGGACCTCTAGCATGTGATCACGTGTGTGTGTGTGTGAATGTGTGTATGCGTGACTGTGTGTGTGTATGTGTATGTGTATGTGTGTGTGTGTGTGTGTGTGTGTGTGTGTGTGTGTGTGTGTGTGTGTGTGTGTGTGTGTTCGATTCTTTTGAATACAGGTAGAAATCTATAATGATAATCCTGTTAGATTGTGAATATGAATTATGTCAATAATACATGTATCAGATATATGTATTGTTGTGTCTGCAATGTTTGCATGTTTCTATTTACTTATTTATGTATTTATTTATTTATTCATTCATTTATTTTATGCTACAGCTGATGAGTCTTTTGAGCTCATAGAGTTTCCATAAAGAAAACAAGCAAACAAACGAATCAACAAACAAAACAAACAAAAGGACAAAAACAAATCTTGGCCGTTCTATTTCTTGTAACGTTCTATCTAGTTTCAAGCGTAATACTCAGCGGGGCTAGTCATCAACCAAGGAACACCACTGGGACACTCGACAATGGCTTTTGTTTGTTTGACATAGTTATATTATGAGAGCACAGTATTTATAATCTCACTTTTTGAAAAATAGAATCCTTCTCTGTCTATGGCGAAGATATATAGATTTTTTTTTAAACTACAAGTACATACTTAGAGTATTTTTTAAATGCTAATCAGTCAAATTTGGGAGATTAGCCACGTACGGTCAGTCACCATTTCGAAAATTAAAACGTCTGTCCGTGAAGATTCTGCAGCAGAGGGTTAGGGGAATAGTTATGACTCATGAACTTTGGAAACCAGCCATTCTCAAAGTTGTCTACAGTTGTCTATGAGCAGCAGGGGGTAGTCTAGTGGTACCTGGGTACCTGGGTACCTCGGGGTGTCATCTCTGGCCCAGAGGTTGACGTACAATGACCCGCCATTGCTCGCGGTCGCTAGCTGTTGTTTTACACTCTGTCATACTAACACCAGTTCATTTCTTGATGTTATCGGTCCATTAATATCTTTGTCCACCCTTAGCACTTTTTCCCCACATCTTGCCTTCGCGTGTTTCCTTCATAATGGTCTTGTGCATTTTTATATGACCAAAGCATTTTGTTTTCGTATTTTTTTATTTTGCTAAGCAGGATTTGTCTTGTTTGGAAAATCTGACACACTTCATTGTTAGTATTCTTTTATCCCCAGCTTATTCTGGTCATTCGACATTAGCACCACCTCTCAAATGCAGATAGTTGTAAGGCTTGTAATCCCTGGGAAAGGTACTTTACATGAATGGTCGTCATTTCACCTAGGTGTGCATTGGTATTTGGCCATAAGCAGCCAAAGATCCTATCAGTTTGTTAAAGTTTGAGATGACAGCGTGCACTGCATTATACCAGGAAGCCAAGACTTTTCAATGGTGTTCTAGGGTCTACTTGAATCAGAAAAGTTGTATGGAGTATGCAGTAGCGCTTAGAATGAGCTGTATAAATGCAAAGGGTCGACTTAGTGTATCCCAAAAGTGCTCACCAAGGCAACGTCTCAGAATCTGCTGGAACTGTGCAGAAAAGGTGTTGCCCTAATGAGTACTAGTGGGGATTTCTACTGTTTAAATTGTCCATGTAAATTCTTTATTCAGTGGCTACTTTTACCATAGAGTTGTTTGAAAAATTTTAGAGAACCTTCTTAGTTAATCTAAACCGAAGTCAAGCAAACAGTGGCCAGTGTTTAAAGGGCATCAGAGTTATATTGTTTATATATGTTTATATATGACATAACATTGTTTAAGTTTCTTGTATAATCTCACTGGCATTCCAGTTTTTGGCTCAACTTTTTGTGCACAAATGATAAATACTGGGTACTGATTCCCACTTTCTTACTTGTCTCCGTTCGAGGAGCGATGCTGCACATATGTGTCGTCATCTACAGCCTCTCTGTGCACAACACAGATACCTGCCTCTTTTGACTTTGACCGGAACCAATTTTAAGAAAAACTGCCCGAGAGCAAGTCAAGAGAAGGAAAGTCGACTTTCACCCAACAGTTTTACATTTGTTAGAAACAAAACAATAAAAAAAAAAGACAACAACGAAAAAAAACTTAACTTGTTAGAGCAGATGCAGCTTTAGCTACATTTTAATTAGTCACGTCCTCAAGATTGCGCGGCGGACTGCATTAATTGTATCCAGTCTTCCGGGAAATCCGGGCAGTTTTCATAAGACTGACCCCTGATGTAGTCGCGAGTTTGGCATCCAGCCAAGGCCATTGCTCCGCGATTGCCATACACGTTCCCGTCGGTTCCACATCGGTAGCTCAGTTCCATGGTCATGGCTCTGGTGGTACAACAGTCACCGTCGTTGTGCTGAAAGAAATAGCAGTTGAAAAGTCAAACCGGCTACATTTATGACATTTCACCAGTCCGTATGTCTGTCCCCGCGTTTTTATGCACCCCGCATAATTTAACAAAATTTGATCATTTTTTGCATAATTTCTGATTATTTTCCTTTATCATTCTTTGTTACAATTAACAGAATCGGATAATTTCACATTTTTGGGCTCAGTTTGCATAATTTCAGAATATTTCTTGCATAAAACGACGGGGACAGGTATGTTTTCCTTACCCTATCATTCATTTCCTTTCACTTCTGTTTCCTTTCACTTCTGTAAAGTTTGCTCTCTCTCTCTCTCTCTCTCTCTCTCTCTCTCTCTCTCTCTCTCTCTCTCTCTCTCTCTCTCTCTCTCTCTCTCTCTCTCTCTCTCTCTCTCTCTCTCTCTCACCCTCTCTCTCTCTCCCTCTCTCTCTCGCTTTTTCTCTCGTGTTCTGTGTGTGTGTGTGTATGTCTGTGTGTGTGTGAGTGTGTGTGTGTGTGTGTGTGTGTGTGTGTGTGTGTGTGTGTGTGTGTGTGCGTGCGTGCTTGGCCGTGTGTTTTTGTCTTAATTTTGCATTCGTCATCACAAAATAACACCCTATTGGCTTCCCTTTCGCGTTGTAGAACTCAGAGTTGTTTGGGTTGTTGTTGTTTTTCTAACAGAACACAGAAATACTCATGGTCGTCTTTGTGCTTATTGTTGAGGGTACGATGTGTGTAAGGTCTATGATTTTATGGGGCACACAAAAGCTACCTGGACCATTTTATTATCACTCCTTGCAGATTCAATAAAACTCATTGTGTCGTTAGAAACATATCAAGAAATTCAAAGAAATAATACTACTTTAAAATGTAGGTGTTTGTGCACCTACAAGCCCACTCTAGATTATTTTTTAAGAAGGTTGGATTTGATCCTGCCTGTAAAGGTCAGTCCGGGTTGAGCAGAAAGACTGGGATATTCCATTTAAAAATCTCCATACATGGGAATCGAACTCAGGTACTTGTGTGTGATAGTGAGGCGTCCAGTTATTATAAGACAGACGCAAGTCGTAATAATATATCATTATTGTCTCAGCAAAGAAGAACGAACAAAACAAAAAGTCAAAACTCACGTATACAAATTCAAAGCCTTGTTTCGCAAGTTCACATTTCTGCGACTCTAAGACACACGCAGTGGGGAAGGTCTTGATGAAGGTGGCACAGACCGGCACGCCCTCTCCTGTACATGGCTGTGGTGGGAGAGAGTCGCACGTGGCGCTCATGGCTCCGCCCACACATACAGCGACAACCAGTGCTAGCACCGCCCACTTCATCGTGTCTCCTGAAGATCCGTCTGATTCGACTGAAAATGATTCACTTTAAAACGAATAAAGGAAACGAAATTAAAGCAGATAATAATAATATAGGAACGAAGCATACATTAAACCAACTACACCTAAATCTAACTCTTTAATTACATTAAGAAATCTAAAGCAATCTCTTTTTAACATTATCATTCATTCGTTCACAATTCATTTTTCCCATCCGATGTTCTCAAGATAACAAATGCATGTTTTCTTGGTCTTCCTTTTTCACCTCTGTTTTCAGGTTCTTCAATTAAGTTGCTCTGTGTTGCCCTGCCTCGTTTGCCTTCAATTATTTATTTTTTTCAGTGAAAGCTACATATTTCACGCGTTTGTGTCGATTCAAGTGCCTAAGAAACTGCTTTTGTCTCTTCCTCCTTTTATTAATGCGCGACACATAGGAGCCTCTTTCAGATAACCTTATAATTTGATATCTTTTTTTCATGAAATTCACCCCAGAAACCACATTTATCTAGTCAGTGGCACCGCTCCGGGGGGTTAGAATATGTTATTGTAATCACATCAGATGCCAAATGCTCTCCAGAAATGAAATAAAGAATTCCAATATCTAAAAGCAGTTTCAATAAAAATGAGTCCAATCCTGACAAATAGAAACATCAAATGTTTCTCTTGCTTCTATTTGATTTTCACTGTCTGCAGAAGGTGTCCAGGATCCACAACTATAGTCTGACCACCCACACGTAGCCGTTACAAAACGTGTATTGTTAGTCATTTAGATGTTTCTATTTGTCAGGATTGTGCACACACATACGCGCCAAACACACACACACACACACACACACACACACACACACACACACACACACACACACACACACACACACACACACACACACACACACACACACACATATATATATATATATATATATATATTTGTTTATCACACGAGCACGCTTTCACATCGTTACGAAATGAGAACATACAAACTGACATAATCAAATAATATACACAATGCAATTCGCCAAATAAATGGATACATAGTCATTTATAGAATATTGTACTGAACATGAATCTACTGACACAGAAATGATGTCGTAATTCAATGTGTCTTTAAAGATATTTTAAATGTAGACTCAGAATATGTTGTATGTGTCAAGGGTTAGGGAAGAGAGTTCCAAACTGATGGTGCATGGTGTGCAAACGATCTCTCAGCTAAATTTTTACTTCCTTTTCTAGGAATTCTTTAAAAATACTGATCGCCTCATCTTAGTGATCTAGATGGAACATAAATCTAGATGAGATCATTAAGATATGAGGGAGCTTTGTTATTGAAACATTTATGACGCAATATTGCAATTGTATATGACATTCTAGCTGACACGGGGGGGGAATGCCACGTTATTAACATGGGAGTAATGTGATCCCTCTTCCTTTTCTTTAATTCAAGCCTCACAGCATGATTTTGAAAACGTTGTTACTCGTGAAGAGTGGCATTTCGCATGTTAGCTAGTAAAGCATTGCAATAATCGATGCGTGAAAACAAGAAAGAGGACACGAGCGTTTTCAATGAGTGTTCATTCAAAAACATAGACATAAAATAATAATGACCAATTCTATGTAATTCACAAAATAGGTTCAATTGACAAGTTTGAATCAAAATACACACCCAGATTTTTTGCCTTATCGGTAAAATACAGTTTTTCATATTCAGGACAAACATGATCAAAATCTATGGGGATATGGCTTTTCTTTGGGTTACTTTAAAGAACCTCAGTTTATTTTCATTAAGCTGGAGCTTATTATCAATCATCCAGTTCTTGACATCATCAATCCCTCAGTTCTTGTAGGAGTGTTTTCGTCCAAGTAAAAATCCCTCATAAGTCTTAAACACTTTCCATCTATCTGTAGGTCATTCCAAAATAAGACAACACACTCAATAACCACAAAAATAACAATAGGCAAAGACAGCCTGGGATGAGGGGTAAGATAAATACAGACCTGAAACAATACTATCTGCCACGTTTGTCTGTTGCTGGTATGTTTTAGGCTGGTCAGTTCCAGAACAAAAGATCCAACGAACAGAAGCTTCCCGAAATGCTCACTCTTTTATACACCTTGTTGACATTTCTCGCCTCTTAATTGATATTTCAAATAATTATGTCAGGATGGTTCTCTTGATGCTACTCGTTACAGGAAATTTAGTAGGAAATTGATACTTAACTCCAGGTTGTGACCTTTTAATATACTAAGTAGGCAACATAAAACGTGTTAGATTGAGATAACGACAACTGACTGGTGACCTTTGGTTTAAGGGAGATCTTCTGAGATCAAAGATGTAAACTCACAAGAGAGCAGTTTATGTGAATTTATTGTATCCGATGTGTTCAGATTGGCCTGTCCATCTGTTCCATCACAAGGACAATATTTTCAGGGTCAGCGAATTTTCAGCGAAATCATACCCCAGGCATTATAAACAGTTGGTTCATTCGTGTCTACGATTTAGGCAGTGGTTAGACGAAATCAATACACAATTATTTGAAATACAAAACCTTACGAGGTGAACAGCCTCAAGAGAATAGCAGCATCAACTGGGTATATAAAAGTGTGTCGCCATTTTGGGAAGCTCTCGTTGGACTGATCTTTTGGTTGGAACTGACAGACCTGTCAGACACCAATAACTAACCAGCCTGACTAGCCTGACAGATACCATTGATGCAGATCGGTGTGATTTCCTTCAGGCCATCTATGCTCAGAGGCTTTTGATTTTTATTCTGGTAACGTTTTTGTGTTGTTGTTGCTGTTGTTGTTGCTGCTGCTGCTGCTGCTGCTGCTGCTGCTGATGTTGCTGTTGCTGCTGGGGAAATACAACGTTATAGTTATAAAGTGCAGAAAGCATGCTGTTGGGTGTGGATATGTGCTATATAAATCAGGCAGTTGTTTAATATTATTATTATTATTATTATTATTATTATTATTATTATTATTATTATTATTATTATTATTATTATTATTATTATTATTATTATTATTATCATCATCATCATCATGATGTTTTTTATTATAAGTAGTAGTAGTAGCAGGGGCAGTAGTAGTAGTAGTAGTAGTAGTAGTAGTAGTAGTAGTAGTAGTAGTAGTAGTAGTAGTTGTAGTAGTAGTAGTAGTAGTAGTAGTAGTAGTAGTAGTAGTAGTAGTAGTAGTAGTAGTAGTAGTAGTAGTAGTAGTAGTAGGTTCTGTTTTTGTTAAACGTCCAACTCTTTTGAATCTAATGATAATCCTGTTAGATCGTGAAAGATAATCACGTCAACAATATTGGATGTATGTATTGTTATAATGTTTGCACGTTTAAATGTATTTATTTATTTATTTATTTATTTATTTATTTATTTATTTATTTATTTATTTATGGACGTTGTTACGCGACTGTACAGTTCCCTAGGGCTACTCACTGTGGGCCTGTACAGTCCCCTAGCGCTGCTTACTCGGGTACTGATTTCTAGATGTCAACGTTTCTAGGTGATAGTCTATAAAATGTTATTTCTTAATCTTTTTCAATTCTGTTTTAAAAGATTGGAAGGATACTTTTTAATTTTAAGAATCCAGATTTCTACTTTAAATGAAACCGGCATACATTGGCTTACAATCATCTTCCAGAAAGCATGGAAAGAAAGAAAGGTACCAGCAGACTGGCAAAATGCGATAGTGGTGCCAATATGGAAGAAAAAGGGCAGCAAGAAAGACCGCAACACCTATAGAGGCATATCTCTTCTCAACCATGCGGGGAAAATGTATGCAAAGATCCTAGAGCGACGCACTCGCGCAAAAGCCGAACATCTTCTCAGTGACGCCCAGTTTGGTTTTAGAAAAGGAAGAGGGTGCACTGATGCAATCTTCGCACTCCGACAACTGTGTGAGAGCGCTTTGGAATACGACTAAGATCTCCATCTCGTATTTGTGGATCAAGAAAAAGCCTTTGATCGAGTAAATAGAAACAAGCTATGGAAGATCTTAGAGCAGTACGACATCAAGGGACAACTGCTAGACAACAGGGCTATCTATGCCAACAGCAGAAGCGCAGTCCGAACTACCAGTGGAACATAGGACTGGTTTCCAGTAACATCCGGAGTCGGACAGGGCTGCAATCTCTCCCCTTTGCTCTTCGTGATCTACATGGACCAGATTACAAAGGAGGCCAATCCAGACCTAGGGGCACTCAACGAACTCATGTTTGCAGACGACCTGGCAATGATTAACAACAAGACCCAGCTACAGGAGCATGAACCAACTCAATGCGAGCTGCGAAAAATATGACATGAAGATCAGTATTAGCAAGACCGAAGTCATGACAATTAGCAGGAGACCAGGCAAAGTGAATATCAACATCAATGGATCCCAACTAAAACGAATCAGAGAATTCAAATACTTGGGCAGCATTTTCACAGAAAATGGAAAATAATTAGATCGAGAAATAGAGACTAGATGCCAGAGAGCCTAAGCAGTCAGCTATCAACTCGGCCCTCTCCTGAAACATCCCAATATCCCCATGAGCACCAAGGCGAAGCTCATCAACGCCATTTTCCTTCCAACGCTCACATATCAGTGCCTGACATGGTCCCTAACAAAAGCCCTAGAGAGGAAACTGGTCACATGCGAGATGAAATGCTTAAGAAGAGCGGTCAACAAAACAAGAAGAGACAAAATTTAAAAAGAAGTCATAAAGGACACCGTGGGAGCAACACCAGTCCTACCACACATCGAAAAACAAAAGGTCAAGTGGTTCGGACACCTCACGCGGATGTCCTCAAACCATCCAGCTCTGAGAGCATACAACAATAAATATTCTGGATGTAGAGCCAGGGGAAGACCAAGGCGACGATGGAGTGAATCTGTGGCAGACACCCTTAGAGCTCACGGGATGTCTCTCCTACAGGCCACCGCCTTGCTGCAGACAGACTCCTGTGTCTCCCCGCGACACCCCCCGGTACAAGCGGAAGAAAAAAGTAAAGTAAAGTAAGTACTACTACTACTACTACTACTACTACTACTACTACTACTACTACTACTACTAATAATAATAATAATAATAATAATAATAATAATAATAATAATAATGATAATAATAATAATAATAATAATAATAATAATAATAATAATAATAATAATAATAATAATAATAATAATAATAATGATGATAATAATAATAATAATAATAATAATAATAATAATAATAATAATAATAATAATAATAATAATAATAATAATAATAAATGACATTTATATAGCGCTCAACCCCGAATAAAGTACACAGACTCTGGGCGCTTTACAATACAGTGCAACATACAACAGTAACATGAAACGTTGTGTTCTGACTAAAGAAAATTATTCCAAATATTCATTTTATTAATTTAAAAACAGAAACGACTTCAGCTGACATTTGAATGAATCAAAAGTTTTGATTTCTCTCAACGTACTTGGTAAAGCATTCCAGATCTTGGGGCCTTGGTATTCAAATGCCCTTTCACCCATTGTTTTAAGTTTTATAGATGGTAATTTTTGTCAGCTGATGACCTTAAACTGCGAGTTGGAATGTACAGTCTCAACAGATTTGATAAATCTGATGGTGCATTATCATTCAAACATTTGTGACATATGGTGGCCAACTTGTACACAATCCTTTTCTCTACTGGAAGCCAATGCATAGTTCATAAAAGAGGTTTAGCAGAGTCTCGTTTTCTTTTCCGTAAAACTAAACGTGCTGCATTGTTTTGGACAGTTTGAAGTCTTTTAACTTTCTCCAGTGATATTCCTGATAACAAGGAGTTACAATAATCGAGTTTTTATCAAATTAAGCTAGTTAAGCAGTATACTTGGTATTGATCAGATGACGTATTTTACTAATTAATTTTTTTTATTTCTAAATACATGCAGCTGATCAGATGATTTACCTCAGCCGACATTGACAAACTAGAATCAAAATAGATGCCAAGATTCTTAACTTTTCTTGAAAATAAAATTTTTGCATCACCAATTGTAATGTAATCAATGTCAACCTCTTTAACAGACTTTGCATTGCCTGCCAGAATGACTTCTGTTTTATTATCATTTAACATCAATTTATGTTGGTTCATCCAGTTTTTAACTAAGGCAATACAATTTTCAGCACGATGGACAAGTTCATCTAAGTTGGTAAACAATGTTGAACCATAAATTTGGGTATCATCAGCATAGAAATGGTATTTTAAGTCATATTTAACTATTTCCTTGACAAGTGGTTGAGTATAAATGGTGAACAAAATTGGATCGAAGACTGAGCCCTGGGGGACCCCATACTTAAGAGCATGATCGGATGACTTAAGCCCTTTAATAAAAACAGATTGGTAACGATTTGACAGGTAAGAAGAAAACCAGCTAAGGGCAGTCCCGGATAATCCAAAAGACACTTCCAATCGCTTCAATAAAATGTGATGGTCAATTGTATCAAAAGCTGCTGCTACTACTACTACTACTACTACTACTACTACTACTACTACTACTACTACTACTATCAACACTGAAATCGTAGCTTAGGCCCAGATAGACATAGACGAGACAGTACAGCGGCAGAAAAAAAAGAAGAAAAATGTGACTCAGCTGGGTTTCGAACCCACGCCGTGCAGTACGACACCACCCGCCTTGTCAAGAAATGAAAAGACAAAATGCTCTACCAATCATCCACCTAGTCTCCAATAT